AGTGGTGACCTTCCTGCTGTTTTATTCATTTTAATGTTGCTACATCAATATGTGAAAATCCAATGTGACCTCTTGAAACCCCAATTGACAAAACAGAGGACAGAGAACTATCTTGACATTCAAAGGGGGTCTAAATAGACCAGGTTGCCAGACTAATGCACTTTTCTCTAATGCCTGACTTGTGACTCATGTTGGAGGTACACAATCTGCAGAGACTAGAAAACCCCAAGGTCTTTGCCTGTATCAGGAAACACTGGCTTTTCCAATGAAAATAAGGAAGGAAGATGATATGATGTGCGAAGCTGGTGACACAATTTAGGGTTAGTCTGACAAGCTTGCAAATGCTTGGAAACAACTTTTAAACAGCAGTCTGGCAAAATAAAATAGATGACACGCCAATATGTGAGCAAAAGAAAGTAAAGTCTTGGGTCCCAAGTAAAAACACATCACAGAAGGTGCATTTTCTGGCTGAATTAAACATTTACATTATTCTCCTAAATCCAATTCCTCATTCAAACTAAATATGGGTTCTACATTGCACTTTTGTATCTTTAAAACCTTTCTTAACATGACTATAGCTTTGTATATTTTGTGTAAATGTGTTATAAGACAATGAACCACACTCAAAACGGATAACCAAGTACAAGTATATTAACAGATTCAACAAACTCAATCTAAATCTGTTTTTAATACTGAACTGGCCATGGACTGAAGGGTAAAGGAACAGACCACTTAAGCGTACTCATATTTATTCATATTATAAACATAAGTGTCTCTAATTGTATTACATTTCTATACTTTGTATAGTGTTTATGTATACCCATACATACATACATACATACTGTTCATACTGTATATAATTTAACTTTTTATATCTGCCATATGTATACTTATAGTATACTATTCATACCATTGCACTTTACTGCTTATTGTGCACTTCTGTTTAGATGCTTACTAACTTTACAAGGTTAAGTAAAAGTATTTAAGTAAGATTAGGAAACTATACTTAAAGTATAAGGAGTTTATGTACTCATTGCAGAAAAAACTCCAAAAATATTTAAATACATCTTCACATTTAAAAAGCTGGAAGTGTGAAATGTTTTTTTACAGAATAAGTCTTAGCAAAATTGCTGCCAATTCATTTTCTGGCAAAACACTCATGGTTTGAGTTACTTAAATATAATATATAGCTACTTTCCACCACTGATGCTATTGTGACTCCGCCGAGCAACACACATTTATTAATGTATATAATTGGTGCGTTGCCGTTTAGGTTTTGGTTAAAGCAGTGACGTCGTGCAACAGGTGGCGGTAACTCATACAACACGTCCCGCAGGATTCCACATATTTAAAGGTGACACAATACATAATGACCATATGACTGATAAGTAAGCTTTTTCAAGAGACTGGGCAGAATTTGAGTTCAGAAGTTAGCTACAGAGAGAAACAAAAACACTGTAAAGGTGTCGCAAAATGTTAAAACAAAGGGAAGGTTTCTCTTGCCTGTTTACGGAGCGAGTGTAATTCCAGTTTGACCAAAGAAAACTCCGCTGCTCGGACGAGTTGCTTCTTCACGTGTAAACTGCATTATAGCTCCATGCTGCGAAGTTGTGATGTTTCAAACGTGTTTTCATACCTTCAACTGAGGAAAAAACAGGTAAATATATCCAGTGTTGTGCCGGGGGATACCTCCATGGTCCTACATTCTTTTGAGGAGCAGCTGTCTGCCTGGGTTGTTCTGTGTAACTCTAACAACAAGAAAGGACTTCCGGTTAATTTTTTCAAAATAGAACGTACTTCATTTACTAAACTTGCCCACTCACTTACCCTGGAAAAATAATAAGATGACATGTTTATTTTCCATTATAAACGATAACACCCTAAGTTAGTGAGAGCCTAACTTATACTTCCTGGGATCCTTTTTTGTTTTTTTAAAGCACTTTAAATTGCTTTGTTTTGAAATGTGCTTATAAACAAACTTGCCTTACCTTTCTACTATATATATATTTTTTTAGATTAATAAACCAGGGAGACTTAGTCAGATCAGTTAACCAACACGTGACATGCAGCAAACGTGATCAAAAATATGATGTATAACATTTTTGTTATAGCCACATTTGTGACAGTTGATCTAATAAAAACTCATTTCCAATATTTAACATGGTCTAATGCCACAATGATGCCACGTGTGACATGATGACAACATTTAAATGCAGCAGCATTTTTTTCATGAATATTTTTATCTTCAAATCTCATGCTTTTATTTTAAAGTTAAGCCCGCCCTACTTCCGGGGAGTTTCTTCTTCTGTGCATAATGTCTAACTTGACGCCATTGCCAGCTTCCCCCCGCAGCACTGCAAAGGAACAAAAACAAACCGCATTAACTTCCATATCACGTGTTCCGTCCGGGAAAAAAGTTGAAGATCCCTCTACAAAGCTTGGCTCCAGTTTAGAGAAACAACAACAAACTGAGATGCACTTCTGAAAAATAGGAATAAGACCATGTAGTTTATACAGGGTCGGCTCTAGAACAAATCGAATGGGGGGGCAATCATTTACCACGGAGGGGAAGGCGGGGGCACACATTGCCGTCAACAACCAACACACAAACACCAACGCAACTTCAATTAAAAAAACAACATGTTGTAAGACAGGCATTGGCAAACTAAGGCCCTCGAGCCATATACGGCCCGTTGGGCTTTTGAATCCGGCCCGCGGAATATTGGTACAAAATTGTCCAAATTATAGTAAATTGTGGTGACACCATGTGGGACCATAATTCACCTTGCTTATTGTGTTGCCACACGGACCCTTTAGTGGGAACACCTGTAGCTTTAGCTGCCATTCCTGCTAGCTCATCAGGCAGAGCAGTGCATGTGTTAACCTCTCTGATATTAATGGATAATAAAGATTGGCACTACACTGGTGACCCTGACTTTTCCGAGAAAGTTTCCGGAAAATTAACGAACAGGGCTGAGCGCGATGTTTTCATAAAGCTGCCGGAATTCTGGGAGCACGCCGCGGAGGCATGGTTCGCACACGTGGAGGCACATTTCGCCTGCCGACAGGTCCGTGACGGGGACCTGAAATACCACCATGTGGTAGCAGCACTGGGGAGCTCCACGTCGTCCAGGTTGGTGGGATTCATCGCAGCCCCCCCCACATCATGGCAAATATGAGGCAATTAAGGCCCTTCTCCTTAAGACATTTAGCTTATCTGCTAAGGAGAGGGCCCGCCAGATACTTGACATTCAAGGCCTAGGAGACAGCAAGCCATCCCAGCTAATGGAGAAAATGCTAAATCTGCTAGGGGGGGAAGATCCCCGGATTTTATTCACGGAGATTTTCCTGCGTCACTTGCCTCCCCGGGTCCAGGCGGCGCTGGCCAACACGCCTGTCATGGTGCCCCGTGCCTTGGCTGAGGAAGCGGATCGTTTTTTCCTGGCTACACAACAGCCCGGTGCAGAGAAGTTAGCCGCAACGCTCAGCGGCCCATCTGCAGTCAAGAAAGCGTGGCGGAGGCAGGACACGGCTGTATCGAGCCGGCGTGGAGACACCGGAGAGTGCTTTTACCACGCACGTTTAGGGACAATGGTGAAGAAATGCATCGCCCCGTGCAGCTACAAACCCCCGGGAAACGGAGGGGCCGGCGCTCAGTAGTGGCCCTGAGCGTCGGCGGCACGTGCATGCTCCTCTTCGTCAGCGACAGCGTTTCGGGGAGCCTGTTTCTGTGTGACACGGGCGCTCAACGGAGCGTAGTTCCAGCGTCGAGTGAAGACGTCACCCGGGGTGGGCACGGACCGCGATTGACGGCGGCTAACGGCGGTCCCATTCGCACGTACGGCGTGAGAACTATGTGTCTGTGCATCGGAGGACAGCGTTTCAGCTGGGATTTTGTGACAGCGTACATTTATTTTCCCCTCCTCGGAGCGGATTTTTTGTGTGCTCATGGACTCTTAGTGGACGTTAAGAATAGGCGTTTGGTTGATGCCTTAACGTTTTCTTCCCTCGTGTGCACACTTGGCAGCGCAGCATATGTCGGGCTCGCTGTCGGGGGCAGACACGTTTCTCAGACTGTTGGCCGAGTTTCCAGACCTGTCGCTACCCACCTTCTCTGCGCTTACCACTAAGCATGGCGTGGAGCACCACCTCACTACCGAGGGGCCTCCTGTCTACGCCAGGGCCCGGCGGTTGAACCCTTCTAAGCTGGCTGTAGCGAGGGCGGAGTTCGCAACCATGGAGCGCCTGGGCATTGTCCGCCGCTCCGACAGTCCTTGGGCTTCCCCCCTGCACGTCGTCCCCAAACCGAACGGCGGGTTCCGCCCGTGCGGGGATTACCGCCGACTCAACGACGCCACTACGCCTGACCGCTATCCGGTGCCGCACATTCAGGACTTTTCGGCGCATCTGGCCGGTACGGGGTGTTTTCCAAGGTGGACCTGGTGCGTGGATACCACCAGGTGCCCATGCACCCTCTGGACATTCCCAAGACAGCAGTGATAACGCCTTTTGGACTTTTTAAGTTCCTGCGGATGCCTTTTGGACTCAAGAATGCCGCTCAGACGTTCCAGCGCCTGATGGATTCGGTGCTGCGGGACCTGCCGTTTGTGTTTGTCTACCTCGACGACATACTCGTCGCCAGCGCTTCAGTGCAGGAGCACCGGTCCCACCTCCGAGCCCTTTTCACGCGGCTCAACGAACACGGATTAATCATAAATCCTGCAAAGTGCCAGTTCGGGGTGTCTGACATTGATTTCCTGGGGCACCGCGTCACCAAGGGCGGTGCGGCACCTCTGCCGGCGAAGGTGGAGGCTGTTGCGGCTTTTCCTCGCCCGCTCACAGCCCGGTCGCTCCGTGAGTTTCTGGGGATGGTGACCTTCTACCACCGTTTCATCGCCCGGGCCGCACACATCATGCGGCCGCTGTATGAAGCATTGAAGGGCAAGACCCCCGTCCAGGCGATCAACTGGACGGCAGAGGCGGACGTCGCTTTTGCTGATGTCAAGACCGCGTTGGCTCAGGCGGCTTTGCTGGCACACCCATCATCTACGGCTCCCATCTCCATCACCACGGACGCGTCGGACTACGCGGTCGGCGCGTTGCACGAGCAGTGGGTGGAGGGCGCTTGGCAGCCGCTCGCCTTTTTCAGCCGCCAGCTGACGCCCAGAGAACGCAGGTACAGCGCTTTTGACCGTGAGCTCCTGGGTCTTTATTTGGCCGTGCGGCACTTCCGTTTCATGCTGGAAGGCCGGGAGTTTACGGCGTTTGGCGACCACAAGCCACTCACTTTCGCCATGTCTAAAGTGGCGGAGCCTTGGTCGGCACGTCAGCAGCGGCAGCTTTCCTACATCTCTGAGTTCACCACAGACATTAAGCACGTGGCTGGCAAGTCGAACCTGGTTGCAGATTGCCTCTCCAGAGTCGTCATCGGAGCCGTCCAGTTGGGCCTGGACTACACTCGCATGGCGGCGGACCAGGTCACAGACCCCGGCGTCCAGGCTCTGAAGGTGGAGGGCGCGGGGCTGCGCTTGGAGGACATGGTGTTCCGCGACGCGGGCGTTACCCTCCTGTGTGACGTCTCCACAGGCCTGTCGCGGCCAGTCGTTCCCGCCAGCTGGAGGCGCTCTGTGTTCGAGGCAGTACACGGACTGTCACACCCCGGCGTTAAGCCTTCGGTGTGCTTGGTGGCCGCGAAGTTCGTCTGGCATGGGCTGAAAATGGGCTTGTCAGCGCGCTAAGGTGCACCGCCACACGAAGGCCCCTTTGGAGCGTTTCCTGGTTCCTGAGAGGAGGTTTGACCACGTCAACATCGACTTGGTTGGTCCATTGCCCTCCTCTCAGGGCTTTTCCTACCTCCTCACCATGGTGGACAGGACGACCCGTTGGCCGGAGGCGGTCCCGCTCGTTTCGACGTCGGCCGTGGACGTTGCCCGGGCCTTCATTGCAACGTGGGTGTGTCGTTTTGGCACCCCGTCGGACATTTCCTCAGACAGGGGCTCTCAGTTCACGTCCGAACTCTGGAACGCCGTGGCAGGCGGTTTGGGGGTTAAGCTGCACAGGACTACCGCTTACCACCCTCAGGCTAACGGCCTCTGCGAGCGCTTCCATCGCTCCATGAAGGCGGCCCTCAAAGCCGGCCTTAAGGATGGGAATTGGGTCGACAAGCTGCCCTGGGTGATGCTGGGCCTGAGGACTGCGCCTAAAGAAGACCTGCAGTGCTCTACGGCTGAGATGGTCTACGGGCAGCCGTTGAGAGTTCCAGGGAATTTCCTCCCTAACGCATCGGCTCCCTGGTCGGCGTCGGCCCAGCGGGCTTTCCTGCAGGATGCCACTGAGGCCTTTGCTCCTATCCCTACTACTCAGCACGGTACTCAGGTGTCCCAGGTTCCCGCAGAGCCCCGCTCGGCGGAGCACGTGTTCATCCGGCACGATGCGCACAGAGGCCCCCTGCAGCCCCCTTATGATGGGCCTTTCCGGGTCTTGGAGCACGGGGACAAGCACCTGGTGGTCGACCTGGGTGGCAAGGCCGAGCACGTCTCGGTGGACCGGGTGAAGGCTGCTCACCTGGACTTGGACCAGCATGTGGTGCTGGCTCGACCTCCGCGACGGGGCCGCCCCCCGGCCTCGTCCCCTGTCACGGATTTAAGACCTGTTGTTCCGGTCCCTCCCCTTCCGGGGGCCGCACAGGCGGAAGTCACTTTTCCGACTCCCGTGCTCAGGAGTCATGGGGGTCGGCGTGTCGTTCCTCCCCGCCATGCTGATTTTGTTTATGTGTGAATTCTGGGGGGGCTTGTGTGGTGACACCATGTGGGACCATAATTCA